TTTCACTTGGGATACACTTGGTGAAGGTGAGAGCTAGCCTTGGGACTCTATTGCTGGTCTTTTCTGAGTTGAGAGAGCTGTTGTGTGTGAGGTTTTGAGGCTGACTTGGGTTGGTTGTGTGTGGAAGCCTTTGTTTTGGCATTGTGAGGTCCAAGAAGCTTCCTTTGTGTTGAAAGGTCCAAGCTTGTTGATCCATTTTCGTGCACCTTGTTGAGTCAGTCTTGAGGGGCTGATTGTGAGCTCCAAAGAGCAACCTCTTCTTCTGTTTTGGCCTTTGGTATGTATACCAACCTTTAATCATGATTTTAATGCTTAAAAATGGTAGCTTAATGCATGTTAAGGTTAAAAGATGATAACTTGTTGTTGGGGGAGGCTTAACACATCTAGAAATGCATGATTTGGTGTTTAAAATCGGTAAAAAGGGAACCTTTGAAGGATATCTTCATGAAAATACAGAAACTGCATTTTGTCGTGAGATATCCGAATATCTGTCGAACTGATATCCGGATATTGGATATCCGGATACGTGGTTTGGGGATATCCGGATATTGGATATCCGGATATGTGAATCTGTATATCCGGATATTGCATATCCGGATATGAACAGTGAGATATCCGGATATTCTGGGATTTCGCAGAACAGCAGCTGTGCTGTGTGAACAGTAGGCTATTGGGGGTTTTTGGACCCCAGTTTGATGAAGTTGAACTTCTGTATTTAATGGATTAAGCCAGAATCATGGGATTAAGGGCTTGTGGCTTTGTTAGAAGCTTTAAGACTTGAAAACGTAATGAAAAGGCGTTGTCTTAATATTGTATGCTTGTGGTGCATGTTGTTGATGTATTGTTGGTCCATAACAGATTGTGAATCTGCTGTGTTTGGACTTTGAGCTGTGGACTCTTGGCTTTTGGAGTTAGCTTGCAAGGTAAGCTTTCGTGTCCTCGGTTTAGCCATGTTGTGGTTCCACCATGTCCCATGGGGATATGGTTTATGCATGCTGTGTACATGCTTTTGGATATTTGATATGTTGATTGAACTTTACATGTAATGGCTTTTAATATGCATGTGTTGTTTCATCTTGACGGAAAGCCTGAGTATGTAGCGCCATACAAGACGGTGTACCGGGGTGAATGCAAGTGGTACTTGCACGGTGTGTAGGTGATAGACGTATACCTGCACTGTCTCTGGCCAGTAGATTAGTATTGACACATATGACATGATTATCTGCTGCATTGCATTGTTTTAGAAATGATAAATGATAAACTGCTTTTGAACTTATATTGCACATGTAAATGAGCTTGGGGTGGAAGATCCTTGAGGACTCACTGACTTACTGAGATTTCTTGATTAGAGATCTTACCCCACGTTTGGGGAATGCTTATTTCAGGATCAGGTAGTATGGGTACTGATGCCTCAGGCGGCAGGAGGCCGGAGCTTAGCTGATTATGTTTTACTGCTTTATGTTAGCATGACTGGATTTGGGATGCTGTTTATGTTTTCCGCTATTTATGATATGTTGTTGTTGAGACTGATGTTGGGCATGTTGCCTTATTTGAGTGAGCATGAGGATTGTCCATGACACTTTCTGTTAGTACTTTTAGATTGGAGTTGTATAAACTGTTAGATGGTCCGGTCTACATTGTTGTAGTTCCGTGACTAGAGCCACAATTATATTATCTATGTTATGAGGTATTTCAGTTAGCTGTTTTATTGCAATTACATACAGGCGATGTTTTATTAATTGATTATTAAGTAAGTTGGTAATGTTAATGGCATCATAATTGAAAAGAAAAAGTAATTCCGCATTTTTAATTAAGCGCAGCTTAATACGATATTATGATAACATTACCGGATATATACGGGGTGTTACATGTTTGGCTAGAGAGCGGATTGAATACTTTGGGTTTGAGTACTCAGTTGAGGGGGAACATACCAATATTGGTTTCACACTTGATAGGAAGATTGTTGGCTTATTTAAGTGTGATGAGTTCCACATTGATTAATAATGAGTTAAGTGAAGATTATATAAGTAGGAGGGCCCATGAACTCAAAGTCCCACATTCATTGAGCTCGCTGACGGCTTCTTCATTAGTTGCACCGTTAATCACGCCGTCACCGACAGAACCTCCTTATGGAATTTCTTCAACACCTTCACCCAATTTTGTAGAGAAGCTAATAACTTCCTCCACAATGTCCCAGTCTTTTGCCGCAAGTGCATCCTGCTAATCTCGAATGTCGTGCTCCGGATGCCGGAGGGTGGTCTGAAGGTGACATTCAGCAGTGACGCGCCGCTACAGAGAGGATTTTTAGCTTAAGCCGAGAAGCCATTCAGAGGCTGAAGGCCAGAGCCAATAACCGGCGGTTGACGAAGGTTTACAACGCTTCCGAGTTAATGCTGAAGCAAAGCAACGATCATCAAAACCAGAAGGAGAACGACAAGGTCGCTACGATCCTCCAGAACTGGTTCAAGAGCTCATCCGTTAATTCGAAACCACAAACGGTTATGGAAAGCTAAATAGTTGAGATTTCGTCATTTCAGTCAATGTGCGGGTTGTAAGTGGAATGGAGGTTATTTTTGTAAAATCACACTATATTTCTAGTAATATTTAACAATCAACTAAATGTAAATTCAATAAACTTGAGCAAATAATACCGCTAATATTTTGGCCTACCAAATAATTTTTTGATAATATTTTCGAAAAATTTATTTTCCCACCATATTCCTGATAATTATGATTTCCAGGCAAAAAAAAATTATCCTCCACCAAAATTCATTTTGTTACTGTGTGTATACAATGAAAAATACTCTTCTAAAATAAGATTGATTTAAAGTAATAAGTAAGATTGTATTTATCTTCAATATAACTTAATGTTATTAATTTATTAAAATTTAAAAATAAATGTATTTCATTTTCTCACTTTATAAATAATATCACTTTAAATAAGTTTCTTCAGCTACATATTAACATTGTTAAGAGATTTTGATTCCTTGACGCAGAGAGCATCCACTGTCCGAGCCTGACCTATGTTAATTTCGAACTAAGAAAACTTACATCAATTCTGTTGTTTCTGTGGCCTTCTTTTATTAATTCTGGAGTAAATACAATTTTTGGTCATCAGTAAATTTCATGATACCCGTTTTAATTTCTAGCAAATAAAAAAGTCCATCGTGGTCTCTAAAAAATTCAAAATGGATCCATTTAATTAAAATTATAGTCTCTCACAAATTTAAAAAAGATCCATATTAGTCTCTAAAAAGACTAAAATGGGTACATTTTCAATTTCTTAGGGACTACGATGAGCCTTTTTATTTGTTAGGGACTAAAGCGGGTATCGTGAAATTTATTGAGTACCAAAAAAGGTATTTACTCTTAATTCTTATTTTTGTTGTTTCCAACATACCTTTTTCTATTTTCTTCTGATTTATACTTTTGCTTTTTAATTTTTAAATTAATAGTAGAAAGCATTGCTGGCCACTAGGGACTCTTTGAATCCAAGCCGTATATCCCAACCCTCTGATCACAAAAGAATAAAGAAGAAAGTGGAAACCCGAACGGGAGAAACACATACTAGTTAGTAGCATTCCTAATAATAATAGGGGAGGAAAGAAATTTAATCTCTCACTAAATGGGGAGAGACAAAAAATGTACCGTGGAACCCAGATGCAATTTTAAATCAGTAGAAGATGGTTTTGTCATTCTTGCAATATAAGAAAATTTCCCCCCATAATAGTAACTTGTAATTTTATTTGGTTCTTTCCAGATTTGTGATTGGGCTAAATACTCTTTGACCTGACCTCACTATTGTTTAAACCAGATTAAATAAGTCAAAACTCTTTACCTGGTGAAATAATAAATTAGACACAATCAGTCATGGATGTGTCTTATCAAAACTAAAAAAAAAGGAGGATTGAAGTAGCTAGTCATTGAATTTCTCTTTTAATAAAAATTTCTTTACATTAGATAAATATTTTTTATACATTTCATATTATTGCACTCGAATTCGTTTTATAATATTATCTTCTCCAATAAACTCGTTTCTCAATTTGTGACAATCACCATAACGGTTGAAATTGAAAGAAAATGAGGGTAGAAAATAAACGAGGTCATTCTATTATCTATATCATCCGTTCGAGCACATTTCAGTCCTACTGTAATATGTACTCTTTTATTAAAAGTAGAAAATAATGATAATTTTAAGAAAAATAACCATATAAGGAAAAGTAAAATGATAAAGAAAATATATTATATTTTCTAGACTGAATAAATGATACACCAAGTCTTCAGTATTACTATTCTTCAGTACTACTGTAGTACTGAAGATATTTTTCATCCGTTCATCCTCCCCGACACACGAACATTTTGCCCGACTGTCTCCTTTATCAAGCCTTCAACATTCAACAATTAATTTTTTATTTTATTTTACAAGCTTTATCATTATATTTATGACAAATAATTTATCAATTAATTAAAATTTATCATATAATAAAATTTTATTAAATAAAACTTTATCATTATATCTTAAAGTAATAATAAATTATTACTTACTTTAAGAGGAAGAAGAGAAGCACCATGGTTACAAGCTTTATCATTATATTTTCATTACTTTAAGATGGAGCATTAATAATACTTAAATTAAGGGAATGATTCGTTTACAATTTTTTTTATTTATAAATTTTTATAAATTGTATTATATTTTTCTGGAAAAGATAGTGTAAATAGTATTTTTATGAGAGAAAATAATATAATTTATAAATAAATTTTTTTATAAATATAACCTATCCCTAAACTATGTTATAGTTTTCAATTTTATTATTAAAAGCAGGGATATATGGCTATTAAAAAAAAAAACAGGGATATATGTACAAAAAAATAATAAAAAAAAGCGGGGATATACTTAGTCAGATTTGGAACAACACGGAGTTCCAGGATCACCACGTGGCAGTGGAAATAGGAGGCGAGGTACCATGCTTGACGCTGCTGCAACGTAGCAGATAACGCTTGTAACCATGGTGCTTCTCTTCTTCTACCCCCGCCAAATTTGACTTTCTCTCTCTGATTCTCTCTCTCTCTCTCTCTTTGATCTGTGATTTCCATTTCCACGCGAAGAAAGAAAAGGAAAAAAAAGAAGAAGGATAGAAAACCCTAGAACTTGATTTTCTCCCCTCGGGAACTGGATCCGAGTGAATGTGCAGAGTCGTGCGGTGATGGCGGGGAAGTCTGACTCAGTGTCGATCCGAGTTCCCTACAAGAACCTCAGGAACGATTCTTCTGCTGCAGAAGTGGAACTCGTCGGCGTCGAGGACGATCCTCGCCACCGGATCGACCTTAATTCGCCGTCTTCTAATGGATCTCCCAATCACTTGCCGGCGAAGAATAACGCCACCTTAATGAATCTGGTTCTCAGTTGCACCGTCGCCGCCGGCGTTCAATTCGGATGGGCCTTGCAGCTTTCTCTTTTGACCCCCTACATTCAGGTCCTCTTTTCCTCTTTTGATTCATGCTTTCTTTGTTTTAACGTTTTTAATTGAATGGATGTAAAGTTTGATGTTTAGGTATGCGGGATCGTGTGTTTGATCAGATCCTTTTGTTGTCAATTTGTGATTTTAGCAATTTTTGGAAATGTGGCCGTTTCTGTTGTTTAGAGACTGCACATTATAAGGGAAATTGTGTAGAATAAGGAGTTTTCCATCTAGTTTTTTTGTTTTGTTGTTACGATTTAGTTGTTGATTTGGGTCGCTGGCTTCTGAGAGCGGAAGAATGGCAGCATAATTGGGATTTTAAACGGTATTTGAGGCTTGTAACTTGAACGGGTTAATGAATAGGTTTATAAATATCTTACATTGTATTTTCTGATTTTGCCTGTAGTTTTTACTTCAGGCAAAATGATACCGTGTTTAACTGTACTGTCTACTTATATGCTAGTTTGACTATGTCTTGGAGATTAATAAATAAGCAGCAGTTCGTTTTAGCTACCCTTACCCTTTGGTGTTCTGCTCATGGTCTTTTTAGAGGTGTTTCTCTGTCAGATGTGCAGAGAGATTGGTGTGCTTTGTTACACGATTCAATCTACTTAGATTTAATTTTTCTGTTTTTTGTTTTGTCAGAGAGGATGGCTTGTCGTCCTTCTGTCTATTATTCTCTTCTTTCTTACTAAATTTCCTTTTCTACCAAAAGAAAAGTAACAGTTCTTCTAAAACTTCCCAGTTTAAAGGAAAACTATTTTAGATACTATTTGAAACTGTAATTGGCCTTTCCATGCATTTCTTTTTAGATTTTTAAAAGATTCTTCCAGTTTCTTACATCAAATTTTCCTTTCACTTGTTGCTGAAAGCACATTCTTGTAAACTCTGAGCGGATCAATAATAATTGGCCTCAAATAGTATTACTATTTGTTGCTTTTTGGTAGTATAAGTGATCTTTCTTCTTGTAAAGAACCAATTCAACCCAAAAGGCTAAGCTGTTAGGTGAGACTACATTAATGGTTTTATATATCTCTAACACGCCCCCCTCACACGAAAGTCCATTGGGCTTGAAGGGTGGATAATGCACAGGCCCACCTACCTGTGCTAAGAAATTTCACAAGACTTAATTAATTATTAACTAAATGGGGGGCGGTGAGAATCGAATCCGTGACACCGATGCTCTATACCATATAAATAATCAATTCAACCTAAAAGCTTAAGCTGTTGGGCGATGCTACATTAATGGTTTTATATATCTCTAACACCTCTGCATGATTTTCTACTTGACCTTTTTAGGGGTTTGCCAACTTTCATCTATACTTTTGAGATTAGTTATTTAATTTGCTTTGTTTAATATATGTGTGTGTCTACCATTATACTCAGCTTTCCAATTAAATATATATTATGTTGCCTTTTGGTGCAGACATTGGGAATAGGACATGCGTTCTCTTCATTTATCTGGCTTTGTGGCCCCATTACAGGTCTTGTGGTAGGTGATAGACTGATAGTGTCCCTTTCATCTTTGATAGCAATTGTTATTTTCTTTGAAATTCATTTCATGCTTGCCCTCACCATTCTAATTGCTTTAGTTCTTTCTATTGCTCAATTGAAATATACTCAAGCCTGTTACGGCTCTGGTTTTTAATCAATAGTAGAAAGAAATGAGAGAGACTAGATCTTATTGATGAATGGTTTCAAGAATGGTTACAAGAGGCGAACCTCTTCACAAAGGGAAACTCTCCCTTTAACTCCGAGAGCTTCTTAGTCACATATAATTCTCCAAAAGTTTCCCCAAATTGAGGGTGTATTCCCTTTTATACATGCAAGGAGCTCCTCACTGACTAACTACTCCTAACTGCGTAACTATACAACAGAACTAACCAACTAACTGCCCTGATTTTGCCTTCTAGTATACACCTTCCAAGTCTAAGCCTTCTCAGTATCTCTGTACGTAACAAAGCCTCTCTTTTCTTTCACTCAATTTCAATTTTCAACTTAGTCTTTAATGATATTAATGTCATACTTATCTTTATTCTGATCTATAGTCATGCATGTCTAACTTTTCATAAATTCAAGTTTGCCTCTTGCTGCTTCATCCTTGTGATTAAAATTTGGGTCACCCTTCAGTAACTCTGATATTTTCATTGCAAAGCACTGATTGTGGAACATAGATGGTGTGGTCCAAACAAATATACACTTTATTCTTGTTGGATTTGAAGTACTAAATAACAAGTTTGTCTCACTTTTTCATATAGGTTCAACCCTGTGTTGGTATTTGGAGTGATAAATGTACTTCAAAGTTTGGCAGAAGACGTCCATTCATTCTGGCAGGATCTCTTATGATCTCTGTGGCTGTAAGCATTGGTGACACTGATCTTTTACTTCAAACTTACTTTTTTACACTAAATTACATATTAGCTAAATTAAGTCCTGTAATTTAGGTGATATTAATCGGGTATTCCGCAGACATTGGATATGTATTAGGGGATACAAATGAGCATTGCAGGTTTCTGTTGCCAACCTTTCGATCTTTTTTCTTGACTCTTTTAATTTCTTCTAGTTTTTGAATTTCATGTGTATGAGCTTACTTAAATATTAATGAAATTCATACATCTTGAATTGTAGAACATTTAAAGGGACCCGAACAAGGGCTGCCCTTGTATTTATTCTTGGGTTCTGGATGCTGGACCTTGCCAACAACACAGTTCAGGTAGGATTATTAAAACAATCAACATGTGCTTCTGTTATATTATCTTTGTCACGATGCAATCGAGCAGCATTAAATTAAGTCTCCGTTTATGTCTTCAAATTTTTATTTTTTAGGGGCCAGCTCGAGCACTTTTGGCTGATCTGTCGGGTAAAGTTTGCCTATTTTATCTGTTTTCTTTGCTCAACTTCTCAACAACCACGAGAGGGATTGTTGGTTATCATCTCGTATTAAATACTTGTTTGGTAGTGGGGAATTATCATGATATTATAATTTTGCTTCTGCTTAGGTCCGGATCAACGCAATGTAGCAAATGCTATATTTTGCTCATGGATGGCAGTCGGAAACATCCTAGGATATTCTTCTGGTGCTAGTGGAAAGTGGAACAAGTGAGACCTTGCTAATATTTTGGGGTTAATTCATATTTCTGCACATTGCTAACTATGTAAAATTTATTGTGCATGATTTTGTTTTAAAATTGGTTGTTTTATTATTATTATGTCACAATTTTTGAAACATATTCTTATTAAATCAATAATTGGAAACAATAGAAGGGAGAATAATTGGTTTTACACTTTCGCTGAAGGATTATGGAAGAATGTATACTTAGATAGGAATAATGGTGTGGAACTACTCATGTAAAGGATCTCAGAAGTGTTTTTGATAAATGGATTAACGTAAATCCAATGTTTACGGATTGGGGCTTGTCATTGTTATTGTTGCTAAGCCATGAAATCCACTAAGTGTGGATTGTGGGTTGCATGCTTTGTGGAAATACGCTGTTGTGTGCTTTATATATGTTTTTTACGGTTGAAGTTCTTTCTATATTTTCTGCTGATTAATATCTTGTCATTTCTTACCCAAGCAGATGGTTCCCTTTCCTGACAAATAGAGCTTGCTGTGAAGCCTGTGGCAATCTTAAAGCAGCATTTCTTGTTGCTGTGGTAGGTTATTACTAAAATCCTTTTGATTGAACCTTCATATTTGATTTTTATGTTTAGTCTAAATTGTCAGAGATCATAAGCATGATTGATATTAGAATGGCTTTTTTTTTTGTCCTTATTGCTGACGACACATTACGAGGGTGAGCCTAGAGCAGTGGTAAAGCTGTTCTTTTGGGACTAAAAGGTCATAAATTCAAATCTGAAAAACTGTCTCTTTACAAATATAGAAAGGTAAAGCTGCGTACAAAGATTGTCCTCACCCCTACCCTCGCTAGTCGGGGTTTAATAGGGAGGGATTTTCTTTTTTTCTTTTTGGATACAATGGTTTCATTGAGTTTCGAACCTATAACCTAATGCAAATTATCCAAACCCCTCACCACTAGATCAATCCTAGTAGCTATGGGGAGTGGTTTTTTTTTTACTAAGAACATATCATCTCCTTCAGTTTTCTTGTTTTTTGTTTTCATTTCTTTTTTATTAATTCTATTGTGTGACAACATCATCTGTACCTGCATTATCATTTGGGGCAACATCATCTTTAACTACATATTTTTGTTTGTAGAAGTTTTCAGAGATCATAAGCATGACTGATCTTAGAATGGCTGAATTTTTTCCTTATTACTGAAACCACAAGCTCTCCTTCAGTTTGTCTAGTTGGTCTTCTGCATTTATTTTTTATTAATTTTCTTGTGGGGAAACATCATCTTTGCCTGCCTTGCTCTTTAAAAGCAAAGAGAACCCTATCAAAGAAAGGCAGTGCCATTATGTCCAAGGTTATCGCAGATCTGTGTAGCTCTTCAATCATATGCTGTTAAACATACAGTTTTTAATGTGTGTATAATTTATTTAATAGCTGGAATCTCATCATGCAATATTGGCAGGTGTTTCTGACATTATGCACCCTTGTGACCTTATATTTTGCTGATGAGGTTCCACTTACAACTGAGAGTCAGCATCATCGCTTATCAGATTCTGCTCCTTTATTGGATGAACAACAACAAAATGGCATTGAATTTTCAAAATCAAAGCCTTTACCTGTTATCAATGAATTCAATGGCAAGATGAGTGAGGATAACATTGAGAACGATGTAGAGATGAAGCATGAGAATTTCAAAGACGGGGAAGATCATACTGAAAATTTAATGGATGGGCCTGGGGCAGTAATGGTAAACTTGTTGACCAGTTTGAGGCACTTGCCACCTGCTATGCATTCAGTGCTTGTTGTAATGGCTCTTACTTGGGTAGGTACTGCAGTATTTATGTGCATAGGGTTCTTCTGACTACACAGTCATGTGTGTTTTCAAATTGGTTGTGAGTGCTATTAGTCTTGTTCTAGTGCTTCCCATTTGAGGTCCTTCTTATGCTTCGTTCATTCCTCTGTGTACCTGCAGTTGTCATGGTTTCCCTTTTTTCTATTTGATACGGATTGGATGGGGAGAGAAGTTTATCATGGGGATCCTAAAGGGAACTCTTCTGAAATAGATCTTTATGACCAAGGTGTTAGAGAAGGTGCATTTGGTTTGCTATTGAATTCTGTAAGAACTCAAGATTAATCATAATTTTTTTTAAAGAGATTTGTCACAAAAACTTTACCGATGATAATGATCGGGGACCTTTTATATTTCTTTTATTAAATTAGACTTTCTGAATTATCTCCTATATAATTATAAATCTGACAATGCATTTATGTCTTGATAGGTTGTCCTTGGAATTAGCTCTTTCTTAATTGAACCAATGTGTAAGTGGATGGGTGCAAGATTATTATGGGCAGTGAGCAATTTTATCGTCTTTGTTTGCATGGCTGGCACTGCTGTCATTAGTCTACTTTCCATCCGAGATTATTCTGGAGGGATAGAACACGTAATTGGAGCTAGTGAAACAATCAAGGTTGCTTCCTTGGTTGTGTTTGTTCTTCTTGGTTTTCCTCTTGCAGTAAGTATGAGGAGTGCTGCGTTGCCTGCTTCCTTCTTTTCCTTACCAATCCTCTTAACTAATCTTAGTAATAGTTCGTTTAATATATATGGAAGTTCATGACTGGATAATCCCATGTTTGTGGCAGATTACCTATAGTGTTCCCTTTGCGGTCACAGCAGAGTTGACTGCTGATTCAGGTGGTGGCCAAGGTTGGTATTAGATGTTAGATTATATGCGTAAGTTCTGGTCTGTTGAGTTTCTGATTTCAAGATATTTGGTTGGTTATGCAGGATTGGCTATAGGAGTTCTAAATCTTGCAATTGTCGTTCCACAGGTAGTTTATTCTTCTTAAATAATGCTGACTGTTACTCCACCTTTCTTGGAGAGCAGATCCTTTTGGAGTTGTAAAATCTTTATCATAATCTTCTTTTTTCAAGTGCAGTTTGATATCGCTTTTATATGTCTGTTCATATTGCAATACTAATTATGTGCAGTATGGTGTTTTGATCTTCTCTATGCAATTAACAGCTTTACACTTTTTCTCCCCTAACTTCTTCCTTATTAATTTCAGAGAAAATTCCAGTTCAATTCATTTACAACAGGATTTTTAAAATTTATTACGACTGAAAAACCACATTGTATCTAAAAAAACTGCTTTAAGGAACAATAGAAGGTAAAAGAAACCTAGGTGGAATTTCCCCGCTACTCTTCAACCTTTCCATTCATTTCCTATTGGTTTTTTATTTTTTATTTTGTTTTTTTTATTAAGTAATTAATTAAAAAAGGGCAAGCCTGGCGCAGTGATAAAATTATTTTTTTTGAGTGAAAGGTCACTGGTTCAAATTCAGGAAGCAACAATTAATTATTATCTTCTTCTTCTTCTTCTTCTTCTTCTTATTATTATTATATCTGTGGTATCTGTCTGGATTGGAGTAGTGGCATTGTGGCTTACGAATGACTGCTTATATATTAGACTTAGTAAGAGTTGATCAGAATGATTCTCCCTTCCTTACTAATGGAACAATGCATTCTACTCTTTATGTTTAAATTTCTTGTCGATATTGTGAATACTGTTTTGATGTATTATTGGCGTATTTAGATGATTATATCCCTTGGTTCTGGTCCATGGGATGCTCTTTTTGGCGGCGGCAATATTCCTGCTTTCGTTTTGGCTTCCTTCTGTGCTCTTGTGGGCGGTATTATTGCAACTCTCAAACTGCCAAATTTGTCTAGCAGTTCCTTCAAGTCATCAGGATTTCATATTGGCTAGCGATTACGAGATCGAATCTGGTAATATTTAACTTGTACATGATCCTCAGAAATTGGAAGAACGTATCTAAGTATGAAGAGCTGACACGGTAATTATCTGTTATGTTGCTTTCCAATCCACAGAAAGCGCATCCCATATTCAAATTCTTTCATTTTTCCCCCCACATTTTGGGCGTTTGTATTCTATGTAATATGTTAACTGATAAAACAATAGAAGAAAGCTTAGGTGAATATAGTAATACGTTTTTGTAATCACTGTTATTCAGTCAATTAGTGATTACAATAAGATGAGATCAATTTTGAAAATTAATCTTGTTCTCGGAGTTGCGTAATAGACTAGGCCATGCACAAAATTCCGTATCATCCATCCCTGTCGCATGTGGTATTGTAGATAATGTACGAAGCTAATGTTGAGGTAGTTTTGTTGAAAGTAGAGCACACTGGCATGTGAAACACCATAGGTTGTCTGAAGCTAATCTTCAAGGGATGTTTGTGTGCTGTGTCTGTGCTGTAAAATAGAACCTATCAACGGTTGACTAGTGCCTGGTTTGGGATGCAAAAGCATGTTGCTGGTTAAGTGTGTGTTATGTTGCTACCAGAATTGCGTTTCCGGCTTTTGAAATGAGGTGACACAGAATGAGTGTCAGATTGGAAATTTTTTATTTATTTATTTTTCTATTTCCAAAACCAATTCTGTAATGAATATAATTGATTTTGAGAATTATTTTTTTTTAATTTTTTTGTTGAGTGAACTTGATTGTAAGTTTGAGACTAAATTTATAACAGCATAAGTATATTTACGTTGTGAAAAAATATGCTAGACGCGCTCAATTAGGTGAAATTTTTGAATTAGATCGTGCAAGGATGGAGTCGGTTATAGTGATCCTTGAAGTTTTTATTGTATCATCTAAATAATTTTTTTTTTTTTTAACTTTTCATATAAACTTATTTTTTTAGCGATATTTCTTTTAAAAGTAGTTCTTTCAAAAATAATTCTGCCAAAATTTAAAACAAATGCACCCTAAAATATGTTGCTCCTCAATCAGAAGAGAGATTAAGGTATCGAATTTGAACAGAAGAGTGGGAATCGAAGTGAATGCTTGATAAAGGTAGGTCCGTGAAGTTTGGATACAAAAGCCCTATATGAAAGGATAAGCTTTCCTTCAGTATTTGCTCAAATACAGAAAAATTTGCAATTTTTTACCAAGAATTATTTACTTATGGGACAAGTTACTTGTTGCAGTAGTCATAAAAATGAGCATGGGGAAGTTATGTACTGTCTTTTACTTCCTGCGGTGGGAATTTGGCATTCATATTAATTTATAATAATTTTTTTGGGTCATAAGGTTTATGTAATGAAAGAGTAATGAAATTTATAATCCAAGTTGGTGCAAAAAAAAATTAAATTAGCCACATAGCAAAACAAACCTTGTCTGCCGTTGATGCAGGCATGCCATGTTATGCTTAGGTGCAGGTAATCTATCTATTGTTTAATGGGTGACAGGTCAATTCTGTTTTTTTTTTTTCCTGCTCTTTCTTTCTTTTTGCCACTAAGAAAAGGTTAATCTACTTTATATAATAAAGTGTGAATAGTACAAAGCATAAAAGAACTTGTTCCTTGAACATTGCCTAGTTGATTAAATTTGCTCCTATCTTGCAATTTATGCACGAAGAGAGGAGGATAGAAATTCATTCAATCTTTAAAAATATTATTCTGTTTCCAATATAAATATATATATTATTCAGTTATGGTGATTGCCATCTCCTCAGTCAAAACAAAATAATTAAATAATTTATTTTCAGAAGATAATCATTAATCAACTAGGACAAAACAATAACTTTTCAACTGTACGAAAAATGTTATTAATAATTTTCATAAACTATTTATATAAAATTTTGTTTCACTTTTATTTATCAAATATTTCTGTCTCAACATTCATATGTGTGGCATCCAAAACATGGATAAAATTTTCTATAGCTGTTTGCTGGGTTTCAGAACAAAAATTTTATTTTAAAAAATCGTTATCAATCTTTATAATAATATTTCTTAAAATGCATCTTAGATTACATTACCCAAAATAATCAAGAGAATTTAATGTTTCGTTAATTTTAACTTACTCATGATGACTTAATGATTGATTTAGTAATAGAATTATAAAATTCCTATTCAAAAAAAAAAAAAGAATAAAAGGAGAAAAAAGAAGAAAGATGTCCCTCTGTATACTGTTGCCCTTTCTCTTTCGATTTCTCTTTATCTCAGTCTTTCCCTGGTCTTTATTTTATTTTAGACTAAATCATCCTTTTATTCATGTAAACATAAAAAACGTTATTATTATTTTTTAATATCGATTAAACCCGTTAATTATAAAAAATAACTTAAAGATGATCATTTTAAGTTTGAACTTTGAGACAAACACATTAAATGAATATTATTTTTAAAATTAAAAAAAAATTATACAAGTTTTTTGTAACTGAAAGATTAACTTGAGGTTATTATTTATAATTGAAAGATTTTTTATTTTTATTTTCAAAAGAGCTACGTTATTATATTTTTTTTGTTATAATTGAAAGATTAAATTAATATTAACTTTTTTAAAGCTCAAAATAATCATACCTCTATCTTTAAAAGATTTATCCTTTATTTAATTTTATCTCCTTTGGGTAAAGTAATATAGCTTCTTTATGACTGAAATAAATAGTATTTTTAAGATGCATCCAATTAGGGAACTATCCTCCGCAATGGACGGTTGTGATGTATGGGCCATCTGTTCCTCTGAGAAAAGTTGAGAAAAAAAAACATGGCCACGAGGAAATATTTTAAAGAACAAAAACATAACTGGACCCAGTAGTTGACGTATCACTATCAATGCATATCGCCTCCTCAAGAAAATCCCAAAAAAAAAAAAAAAAAACTTTAGAAAAATTGAGGAGAAGGAGGAATTGAAAAAAAGGGGAACACTCTTGAAAAAGAGATGTCAAGCAAAGATAGCACATGGGATTTGAGTAAACTGAACATACAAGCATAAGAGCATGTGGATGAGAAGATTCATTAGCTATTTTTTCTTCTTTTTTTTCTTTTTCCCCACTTAAAAAAATTGATTTGTATTTGTTATATTTTATTCTCTTAGTTAGAGAAGAGAAAGAGTAAGGAACGTGGATCCACCCAATGCCAATGGGGTAGTCATTCAGTTTACAACTAATGAAGGCACGTGAAGCTGCGAGAGCTGCTTGTCTTTGGCTACATATCAAACCAGTATGTAAATGGGACCCTATTCACGTCCCATCATCACAATACACAGATTCATCACTCTATCTCATTTTTATTTTATTTTTTATATATTATACACCGAATCAATTATTTGACTAATTCAATTGGAGCGTGTTGAGATATATAGAGCGGAGTAAAATCATATGAATAACAAAATTTTTCTTCCTAAATTTCAAGAGACTTCATTTTTAAGGAGCGTTTGGTATAGAAGAAATTTTTATTTGTCCGGGAATCTCGATTTTCAAAAATATGATTTTTACATTCAGTTTACAATAATATCTGAAAATTTAAAATTTTAAAAATTTCAGTTTTTCGAAAATCTGAAAAAAAATCCGTGTACCAAACGGCCCCTTAGAGACTCGAACTTCAGGTTATTGATTAACTTAAAACAATTCTTTATCAATAGATTCAGTTTTATCTCATCGTTTTCTCAACAATATATATATATATATATATATATATATATATATAGGATAAATATTTCTATAGTCACTTTAGATAAAATTATCTACAACTGTCTCAAAAATTATGTCGTTTTGATTAATAAAGGGTGTTTCTGTAATTCTAGATAAGGTTTTCAACACCCTTTATTAATTCACCTAAAATTACAGAAACACTATTCATTGATTAAAACGACATAGTTTTTGAGATAGCTATAGATAACCTTATCTAAAGTGGCTGTAGAAATATTTTTTCATATATATATATATATATCCCATTATTTTTGTAGAATAAGGTTGGGTAATATAATTTGCATGTAAATTTTTTTACCTCATTTGTACGTATTGGAGAGTAAATTTTATATCATTATGATTCTTACATAAAATTTAATCATACTCTTAAGCAGATAACTTACTGTATATGAATACTATAAAGGAACCAATTTTCATGTAAGTTATATTAATAGATATGATTTATCTGAATTTATATTGGTGTCAAAATCACACCATCAATTTTAAATGTTGAATCAACTGATGTACTTATCATAAAGTCTCGAAGACGTTAAATCAAGGAGCGAATGGTCGTGCATGTTTATAGCTGATTTCGCAAATTTGGGACCATTTATTGGAAATTTAATTCCTTTCATGGGTCCAATATGTCTGTTAAGTTCCTGTTTGAAATGTAAGATAGAGGATGATGACAGAACAATAACGGAAAAAATAACAGTAGTAAAGTTGTGTGTACGTTTTACTTGTTAATGTGTTTAGATGAAGGTTCATTGTCCGTATTGACATAGTATCAGTGGGTCATGTATGCATAGGTTGGGTAATGATTTCATCCCCATATCATATGTATGAAAATTTGAAAAAACTGCAGTCATGATCAATAGCAAAATTGTACATGTCCTTTTCACTGGTATGTGAAAACCCCAATCCCAAAGCTAAATTCAGGTCGTAGCCAAATCTTGTAGTAAATTAATTGTTGTTGCCTAGAAAAGATGAATGTAATTTCATGAGCCTTTATTTCCCCGTCTTTATTTCCCGTCTCGCGTTTATTACTAGACCAAAAAATTGTAGTTACTAATCAAGACGTAATTCTTTCTGCTTACCATCATCATCTCAAATGTTATGATTCGACTTAATTCCGACCCACATTAAATCTTATTAAGGTAAAATGTTAGTCTCACCAATAGTGTCTCGTATAACCAAAGCCGTACATTTGTTATGAATTGCCTTGCATCATGTACGGTTGGTGTATATAAAATGTGTGCCATGAAGGGTGACGTATGTTGATATATGGGGTGTCTATAGTGGTAATGGTAGAGACCAAGGCATTAGTGGAGCTTCCCATGGAGCATAATGTAACGTCCGGTCGCTTCAAGAATCAACGACTATCCCCACATACTAACACGAGACTTTTCAGCGTGCTTTGTCCTCACTTGCACACTTCCCGGAAAAACTTCTCAGGAGGTCACCCACCCCAGAATTGCCCTAAGTCAAGCACGCTTAACTATGGAGTTCTTCTGTTCCGGGCTACCGAAAAGTAGATGCATCTTGTTAGTATAGGTAGTACCAATTAATTCTTATAAGCTATTCCCAACTATACTGTCTCATACCAGCACAGTCTGTGGAATCCCTCTCTTTCGGGTGTTGATTCGATTCATTCATGTACCCCCGTCGCTGGAAGAACTCCATAGTTAAGCGTGCTTGACTTGGGGCAATTCTGGAATGGGTGACCTCCTGGGAAGTTTTCTCGGGAAGTGTGCGAGTGAGGACAAAACACGCTGAAAAGTCTAGTGTTAGTGTGTGTGGACAGTCGTTGATTCTTGCAAGTTGCCAGACGTTACACATAAGGGGGGTGTGTGTATGGAAGGATGAATCTACCAAGTGAGCAGAGTAACAACATAGTAAAGAGTGGGGGAGAAGATCCCCCCTCCATGTGTGAGGGGGTATTTAGAGAGGAGAGTCCTCTCCAGCATGGGGAAGACCGTTGGTCAGCCCATGAGCTGTCTCCAAGCCATGAGAGTCCCCTCCATGCTGCCCTCTGTCAGTGTACAGGAGCAGCAGTTCAGGGATCGAGAAATGTCCCAATGGTGAGCCTCTATGGCTTGCCATGGGTGCCCTCTAGAATATTTTAGACTGCGGGTTTAGGAGATTGGACTCAACTAGGGATGGCAAAAACGAGCCAACCCGAGGGTTGGCTCGCAACCCGTCCTAAATGAGTCGGGTTGGGTTGGCCTAAATGAGCTGCCAACCCGACTCAACCCGACCTGATACAACCCAGACCCAAACGAGCCAGCCCGCGGGTCAAACGGGCCAGCTTGCGGGTTGGGTATTTTTTTTAATTAAAAAAAATAAAAAAAATAATATGACTGTATTAAAAAATAATAATAATAATAAGAAAGATGAAAGCTTACATTTTGAACTTATAAATAATTAGCTTTTTCAATTAGAAACTTATAAATTTTATTAAGAATAGGGTAGCATTTTGGTCCATTTGTATGTTTATTGCTGTCAAATATTTTTTTTTTCTTTTTTTTTTTGACCGTTTGATTTTATTTAGCTTAATTTTGATCAGTGGAAGATGAAAGCTTACATTTTGAACTTTAAACTTGTTTAATACAAGTCCATAAATAAGACTAGTTCCACAAAAATCAATTTTTTTGAGCCAACTCGCGAGCCAACCCACTGGCATCATTTCGAGCTAACCCGCGAGCTTTTTTCCGAGCCAAACCGCGAGCTTTTTTCCGAGCCAACCCGCGAGCTGATTATCGAGCCAACCCTAACCCGGCTCGGGTCGGGCTGGGTTGAGTTTTCTGGCTCGTTTATTTTTTCGGGCCAACCCTAACCCGGCCCGTTTTTTACGAGTTGAATGTGGGTTGGGCCAGGTTGAGCCGGGTTGACCCGTTTTGCCAACCCTAGACTCAACTGGTGGGCCTAAGATGAGTAGTATCCAGAACACATCATAAGCCAATCTAAACTAAAAAAAATATTAAAAAAAGGGCACCTGAAGTTAAAGAGTATCCAAATCTTGAACACTATCTCCTATTCACCATGTTAATTATGGCCTTAACAAATGGTCCCATGGTTGACTTGTATGGTAAAAAAATTAGGCACATTGGCAAGTAGAAGGGAAAACCACATTGGTTGCACAAAGCATATATCATTATATATTATATAAAAAAAATATGCATGTTGGGTTTTGTTTTAAGAGATTTCAATTGTTTATTCAACCGTAAGAATATTTATATTAATGTGTTGAAGATTGAGCAAGAGAGAGAAAGGGGAATTGGAAGAGGATACATGCATATATATAATGTATACAAGGGTATGTACTGCAGGCCATTTAGAAGAGAGTTGGCAGTGTAACCATAGTGAGAGGAGCAGTGGCAATGTGGCATGCATGTAGATGGACATATATATGGTAAGGAAGAAGACAAATAAGACCAAGCTATGGTAGGGTAATAACAACACAGTGTTAGCTTGGATTTTCAACCCTCATCACATAGGTAGACACACAGGCATTTAGATAAGAGCTTGGCTGAAACTTATGCCAGGGATAATGGTTGATGCGAAAGAGCTTCATCCTAATAATGCACGATACCTGTTGGTAGGTTAGGTAGCAAACCCTGCCCCTCTTCATTGGACCCATCCCCTAGATTCCTGCCTCTTCTATCTTTCACTTTCTCATCTTACCCCCAAGAAAAACCCAATCCATTCTTTTGGATTCAAAGTTATAGCCAACTCATTTCTCTTTTTCCCTTAAGTAACCTCCTTTTTTCTTCTTCATGAAATTAAGACAACATAAAAATGTTTGTCACCACACCATCAAATTAAGTTTCTTTTCCTAAGAAACCCCTACCCCTCTTCCCCTCTCTAAGTAAGAACACCTGCCCCATCTACTGCCTTTTGTTTATGCTTTTATTAATAAATAAAGGGTAAAAAGACTATCATTTACAAGGATACAAGTTGTGTCTTTTTAGATGATTTACACATAGTATGACCGGTCATACTCTATGTAAATCTAAAAAGCTGTTTTCTTTTCTCTCTCCTCAGTCACATCGCTGATGTGTAAAGTAAAAAAAAAAAAATTTTTCAAAATTACACAGAGTATGACAAGTCACTAAAAGAACATAAGTTGTATCCTTTTGAACGACACACACTAAACCCATAAATAAAAGAATTGTTATGAACCTGTCACAAAGGTGCAGATTCTAAAAGGTTCAAGAAAATTAAACGGCCAAGAGAAAAATTAAGAAAAGATTCATTAATTATACTAATACTACAACGATTAATAAAGAGCCGGACCCCAATATATAATATACGAATCTCCATTTCTTGGCCTTAACTATGGAATCATGGACATGAAAAGCCTCTATAGCTGCATTTCCAATTCCATAGCTATTATTAAAGACAACTTTCTTTGTAAAGAAAAGCCCTGCTGCTTGTCTCCTAAGTGAGAAACTAATTTATCATTAGGAAAATAATTGCAACTAACGGGCTTACATAAGCACACACTCCAATGGAATATTAGACAGGTTGACGCGGAGGAGGTAGCTTTCTTTTCCTCCTATTTAAATATATTTCTAATTTTCTTTATTCTTTTTCCAAACACTAAACGTCATTCTGACATCTAATAGCCTGCAATTTTTTCAGTGTAAAAAGTTTAACTAATTATTTTTCCTTTTCATGTTCATAAATTAAATATAACAATAGCAACTTACATACAATGAGAAAAAAAATTCCAAGTGATATATATTGAAGTTGATGTATAGAACTATAGATTAAAACATCTCTCCCCCCCCCCCCCCCCCTTTTTCTTTCTACTTTCACCTTTTCCTTTCCAAATATTCACATAAGAGAACAAAAGCTCTCTCTAAAACTGATAAGGTATATAAACCATACTTCAGAACAATTTGTCCATCCTCTTCAATTTAGCAGAAGAGTTGTGCACTAGACCTTAGTCTTTGTCATTGTTGCTTCCACAACAATATAGTCTAACCTTTCCAAAACATTCACCTAAGAGAACTCAACCTCTCCCTAAAACTGATAAGCCATATATATAAGCCATCCTTCAAAACAATTTGTCATCCTCTTCAATTTAGCAGAAGATGATATGCTCTAGACCTTAGTTTCCTCCACAACAGCACGGTCTAACCTATTAGCATCAGCAATCTTATCTTGTCATACAACATGATAATCAAAATATCATTCAGCTATTGAAGATCAGTGACAGGCAAGGATATGGCTTTCTTCCCAGCAAATTTCATGCTACAAACCCCTCATCAAGATGACCAGCAAACTCCAGCTTCACTCAACTCAATCATAACCTCATGTGCACCTCAAGAGTACCATGGTACTCTCTTTCAGTAAAACAACACAAAAGCACACACACAACACCAAACTAGTTTAATATTATGGGACTAATACCAGGGTTTCATATGTTGATGATGCAGGAGGAGCATCCTTTCTAGGCAAGAGATCTATGTCATTTTCAGGGCTTGAGCTTGGAGAAGAAGCTAATGCTGAGGAAGAATTGTCTGATGATGGATCACAGATTGGGGAGAAGAAGAGGAGGCTAAACATGGAACAAGTGAAGACACTTGAGAAGAGCTTTGAATTGGGAAACAAGCTTGAACCAGAAAGGAAAATGCAGCTGGCAAGGGCTCTTGGGCTGCAACCTAGACAGATTGCTATATGGTTCCAAAACAGAAGGGCTAGGTGGAAGACTAAACAGTTGGAGAAAGACTATGATCTTCTCAAAAGACAATATGATGCTGTCAAGGCAGATAATGATGCACTTCAATCTCAGAACCAAAATCTTCAGACAGAGGTTTGTAATTTTCTCAACTCATGATCCAATCAAACGGTTCTTTAGTGTCCTAAAAGTTTTATCTTTCTCTTTTCTTTATAGCTTTATTATGTTAAAAGAGAACTGAGAAGAGAAGAAAAAAAAATTCTTATACTAATTTTATGAAGAAATAAAGAGATGTTCCAGTTCTGCTTTATATGGTTGTTTTGATTCTGTAGACTGAAGCTAAGTAATCATGATACTTTTTTCTAAGTATAAAAAAAAAGTTCATAGTTTTCAGAACCTTTATTTCCTTTCATCAACTTCTCAAACTAATGATGACTTTCTACAAAGTTGCTTTTTCCTATGATCCACAGCAACTTCATTAAGACCAGTTTCCACTCAATGGCATGTTACTCTTGCATAGTTTCCTTGGTTTTGGAAATAATTATTTTCAGATTGACACTTGTTTTAATTCATTTATACTTTATACTCCAACCTTTACTGCATATAATTTGTGCCATTTTCGGAATTAGCTAATTTAACTTTTGTGAATGCTGCAGATATTGGCACTGAAAAGCAGAGAACCAACTGAATCTATCAACCTCAATAAGGAAACAGAGGGATCAAGCAGCAATAGAAGTGAAAACAGCTCAGAACTTAAGTTGGATATCTCAAGAACACCAGCTATTGATAGTCCTCTATCAGCTCAACACACCAGCAGAACCCTCTTTCCATCTTCTGCTAGACCAACAGGAGTGGCTCAGCTTTTCCAAACTAGTACTACTTCAAGGCCAGATCTTCAGTGCCAAAAGATTGATCACATGGTCAAAGAAGAGAGCTTAAGCAGCATGTTTTGTGGCATTGATGAGCAATCTGGCCTCTGGCCATGGTTGGAGCCACAACATTTCAATTGATCAAGAAAGGGAGAGAGTTTTCAAATTGGAATATGTAGTTTTCCGGATGAAATCAAGAGGGTGTCAATTTATTACCATACTTTTTAATTTAATGAGTTCTTAAATTAAAACCCATGTTTTGGTAAACTTTATGTATAAAATAAGATATATCAAGTATGAATTTTTCTTTATGGGGTTTGAAAAATTTTATATCAAAGAATAAAGGGTTCATCACCTTTTTTTTATAAGTTAATTAATATAGCAAGTTTTCTTTAAACTTTTTGAGTATAATGGGTTATGAGAAAATTTCCAATTATCTGGTGTCTGATTGCAGGCAATTATTATATAGCATGGACCACAAAAACAAAAAAAGGAGATTCTTTGCTTACATTTATAACATTTTCTTTTTAATCCAATTATTTTTGCTTGCTTTTGAATCAAACCTTAGTACTGTTGAAGAAAAAAAAAAATTGCAAGTGGTGTGAGGCTAAAGATTTATGCATGCTGATTTCATCAATAAGTATAGCATGAGTGATTGTACCAAAAAAAATATAGCATGAGTGAACAAAATCCAATGAAACTTGACAAAAGTATGTATAAAAAAAGAGGAAGGGAATCAAACACACATTTCAAGAAGGAAAAACGACAAGCAAATGGAAAGGGTGGAAGAAAACAAAGAGAGTTGGAAATGGTCATTCTCGTGAATGGGACGTTGTCGATTTTCTTTGTTCATGACAAAGGAAGGAGCAGGAGTGGATCATCAGAGTCCTTACTCAATATTTCATGTGATATCGCTGTCACCCACTTTCAATTCTCTTGTCTTTAATCTCTACCATCTTGCAAACTCCATTTCACCCCCCCAACTTTCAAGTTACTTCTCTCTCTCTCTCTCTCTACACTTTTCTTTTCCCTTGTGTGGATAATATGCCAATGATGACAGTGGTCAAAATAACTGTTCACTGACATGCAAAGTAACTGTAGAAACTTCAGCTCAGGTGAATTCGCATGCAGATACATAAATTCAAATAATGTAATGTAATGTTTTTTTTTTTTTGAGATATTCAAATAATGTAATGTTCATTAACACTTCAGCTTCACCTTTCTTATCTATTTTTTTTATCTAATAAAATCATTTATTTGTTTTCTTCTTCTTCTAATTAAGTTTTCGGGACAAATGATTCCAGGTGTAAATTAATAGGCTAGGCTACGTTATGCTTTTACTTAAATAGATTAGACATGTGTAAAAAATATTGGGTCTGGTCTGAACTTTTAATCTGTGTAAGCCCTAAATTATAAGTCGAGCCTGACATATATATAAAAAATAAAAGCTTCGGCCTAGGCTTATTAGTCTGTTTAAGCATATTAAACATTCAACAATTAAAAGAATAACTAAAATAATATTACTTTATTATTTAAAATTATTAAAATAATAATTTTATTTATTTATTTTATTTAAAATAAATAAGATGATATAGGCTGACCTGTAAACTTGTAGGTCCGACATGTACAAAAAAGCTTATGATCTGTTTTTTAAATATTTTTTTTTTAAAAATCTAGGCCTATTATATTTTACTATTTGTAATAGGCCAAGTCTGATCTAATATAGGCTAGGTCATAAGTCCTTGTAGGTCGATTCTTATTATCCTTATTCATCAAATAAAAAAATTAAATTTAATCACAAGTTAATCAAAAATAAGATTAGTCCTTGTGAGAATTGATTGTGTGACATTTTCCTTCTTCTTTTTTTTAATCGTACATGGTGTTTTCAGAGTTTTTCTTGGGAAGCATGGTACCACCGCATCATCATATTAGTTATTATTGGCTGTCACAAATGAACGAGTATTGCTAATTTGCCATATTTCTGGTTACTCATTTGTCATCTCTTGTGAATTAATTAATTTCACTAGGCGAAAAAGACAAAGGTTAATTTTTTAGAAATGTGTGTTCGTGGGTTAGAATTAATAAAAAAAAAAAGAAAAAAGCAATGGGGCTAGGTTCACAGAAATTTTAATACTAGTGAACATTCTTGGTTGAAATTATGTAATGATAATGACTTGAGTAATTATAGAGGATACATTTTCCAATTCATGTTCAAAATAGTATTTGCTTATGGCAAGTTGAGAGCTTTTAAGTCACGAGTTTCAAACTATATGCTATAATTGTAATAAGCAAAAAGTTAACACATCTTACCCACACACATATATAGTGAAACTTCCCATCAGAACATTGTAATATGACAACAAACCTTAAGAGTAGCACTTAACCTTATCCATGAGTTACATAATATACCCAATTAGAATCCATTTGTGTGTTAAACAATGCATGTGAGAACATCTGCATTACATCAAAAAATATCCATTTTTTATATTAAAGTATTGCGCTGATATGCTTACGGGATCAAGTGAACATGGTTTAAAAAATATTTTGCAAATGGCTGAAGATTTTGGCATTATGATGACAGTTTCTGAGAAGCCAACTACGATTTTGAGCAAAGTTTTGTCAGTGGACATAACTAACTATATATAATGGTAGAATCACGAAAAGATCGAGATTTAGTGGCCACGTGCTTGGTGGTTCCTAATAGGACATGTATGATAGGGTGGTTAGTGTTATTGTGAGATAATAATAGTTGCAAATAAGAGCATTCCCAGCATGTTTGGGGACTATAGTGTCCACAAAGAGTATGGAGAACATGTGACCATATGCAATAATTTTGTAATTATTGATTTGTTTATTATATGTGTTATTGCTTACATAGAAAAACGACCATTATATTATCGATTCTGTCAACGGCTACTTTAATATTAGGACCCTTTTACTTTCACATACGGAAATTATACTAGGTTTTGAAGGAAACTCTATGGTCAAATTATCCACATATGAAAGTGATAAGTTTTCATATCTGCCAGGTTGGAGCAGTGCATGTGGTGCCACTATGCAATAAGCTGGGTATGGTATATATCCTTGGGATGAGCTAACTTGATTATTACTGTTCAATTTTGAAAGAATGAAATTATAAAACTAAGACATTTACATAAAAATGCTGGATAGTGAGAATCTTTTTGTTAAATTTTTTTAGCATATATAATAAGTTGGCATATTTATTAAAAATTAAACGAATGAGTAATTCTTACCACTTTATTTTATGTAACAACTATCCTTGATTTTTTTTGAATTTTGTAGAAGTTGTGTAAGACTAGTAAGTAGTAATTAAGGGTCTAAATGGGAAATGTCGGCTTATAGGGCCTATGGCTTATAGCCTATATTAGGTCAGGTTTGACTTATTACAAATAGTCAAATAAAACAGGCCTAGACTTTTAAAAAAATCTATTTAAAAAATAAACAATAGGCTTTTTTGTACATGTCGGGCCTATAAATCTATGGCCCGGCCTATATCATATTATTTATATTAAATAAAATAAATAAAGTTATTATTTTAATTATTTTGAACAATAAAATAATATTATTTTAGTTATTTTTTAATCAAAAAAAATTTTATGCAGTTACTGCAAACGACATCGTTTTGGGATTGAAATATTAAAAAATTATAATTATAAAGACTATAATAACTCTGAAATAAATTAAAATTATAAAAATATCATGATTTTCGCTCCAAAGCGACGTCGTATTGGGCTTATTGCAGATAACTTATCTGCAGTAACTGCAGAAATATTTTTTTGATTAAAAAATAACTAAACTAATATTACTTTATTATTCAAAATTATTAAATATTGAATGTTTAATAGGCTTAAACAGGCTAACAGGTCTAGGCCAAGGCTTTTATTTTTTAAATACATGTCAGACCAGACTTGTAATCTGGGCCTATACAGACTAAAAGGTCAGGCCAGGCCAATCTTAAAGTTTTTTACACGGATCTAATTTATTTAAGTCAAAGCCTAACTTATGCTAATCTATTTACACCTAGCTACTCTATTTTATAGAAGTTGAAATAATTATACTAAGGGGTTTGAATTCATTATTTAAAATGACACAAATTTTTTTTTTACACATACAATATTTTGTGGGGCCCACAATTTTTGAAGCTGTTATGGACCTGACAAATGTCCATATTCTAGAAGGACCAATAAAGGACAACACAAAAGAAAGAGAATCTCCTATTGATGACGATCATATACAGACAACTAAGTAGTTGGACTTGGGCCCCCAATATTCCTAAGAGGCCCAGAAGTACACTCCTTCAGGTAACCCATCTATAAATAAGGGGTTAAACTAATAAGGAACACACTCTAAAAAAATCCTCTCTCTTAGCTTGTCATTATGCACACACCCCACGCCTTGACTATATCGATTATTATTGTGCATAGTGATCAGCCTACCCTCAAGGGAATCTCATTCATAGATACTTGAGAGAGGGTGTAACATCCCCGTCTCGAGCCGGTTCAATTAACATACATATGATAAAACAGAAAACAGCGGAAGACTTAACTTACGAAAATATGAGCTAACTTTTTTCTTTTTCTAACTTAATTCTTTCTCGGCGTAAACGAAAATCGGGCAGAGTTTCCTCTATAAATCGGACAACTGGGGATTTTCCAATCCCACTCAGAAGCATTTCCTGATAAACAGTTTATACAACATATCAATTCAGAAATACCAGATATCCAAATATAATCGAATACCCATACATGGGCGCATGCATAACATGGCTCCGTGCCACTAAATCTAACAGCATGCCATCAAAACATAAACCTATCTGAATACTACATCATCATATAACGTTCCTGAATACTCAAATGTACATGCATCAAACTGACATACATGTACAAAACATATACAGGCCATATACAAAATAAAGGATCAATATCATGATCCATCAAATGCGAAAATACTAAAATACATCAAACACTCCAAAAAGGTAGCAGCCTACAGCCACTCAAAATCCGGTCTGTCAACTGCCTCAGCCACGTGTCGTGTCCCTGCCTAGTGAGGACTCACCGGAAATCTGGGCACCTGAAAATGTGTCCCCAAAGAGGGGTGAGATTACAAATCTCAATAAGCTCCAGGTTTATAGAGAATTCTCCATACCCCTGGCTCACTCCTGCATGAAATTCAGATACAGAGTATACAAATACAACATATAACAGATATCATAACAGAACCGAGCATATATCCATATCATATCAGAGATGTGCGCCGTCATTCCCAAGGGAGGACCCCAAGCGGAAATCAACGCACGTGTTCCCGAGGGAGGACCCCAAAGCGGAACCAGACATATCAGAGGAGTACACCATCAGTCCCGAGGGAGGACCCCAAAGCGGACGTCCGGGT